GAATTCAGCTTTACCGTAAGTGCACGTGAAATGCGCGGCTGATGAACTCCACGTCCTTTCTGTACAGAGAAGCATTCGCCGGCTTCCACAAGAACTTCGGCAGCTGGAAATGTGATCAACATTATCAGCATGAAAAACTGCAACAGGAATGAACACAATCTGGAATGAACGAGGCAAGAAGACGAGTGCAATGAACACGACATTCCACTATCACAGCCCAAGGTGGGACAACACCTATTGTATACTCGTTACATATTCCCATTCACATAGCAGAAGCTACACAAGTGCTTCTTGCAGTTTAAAATTGTTTTTACTTGGGTCGGGGTTTCCACTTAACTTTCATAAGGGTTAAAATTTCTACTTGTTTCTCCTTCTTTGTAATGTTAGGAGGGGCTGTGAGGGGTTTGTGTTAACCCTGCCCGTTCTGAGCTGGCTGATTTCATTATAATTTGTTCATTAGTTTTGAACACCGTCTGTCCCAACAAAGGGTTAAAGGAATTACAACCCTGACTTCTGCATTGTATGTTAATGAGAGAAATAGGGCTGAAACCAACTCATTAACCTGTACCGCACTGACCAATAAGAAGTGCTTCTTAGCAAGAAGCGCTTCTCATTGGTCAGTACAGTCAGGTGACTGCACAGAACAATGCGAGCGAAATTCAAAATCCATAGTGCAGGGGAGTGGGCCAGATTGTAGGGGGTAATTCCATTTCCCCTAATTCCCCTGGGAGAGTGGACTTACCCTTTAAGCTGCTTAAATGTCTCGATCTAGTCTACATTTTGCTTTTAACTGGTTTTCATCATGTATGTTCTCTCGTATGTATCCGTCAACTCAATTAAGCTGCCGTTTCCAAGACAACTGCTTGAAAGATGCTTGGAAATGGCAGCATCTCTTTCCACGTTTTAATCTGATGACAGAGTCACTTTAAGGGACAGTGTGAAGCCTTGTCGCGTGTGTTATATTTCAGGTCACGCGTGTTATAATTCAGCTCCCGTGTCTTACCTCCTCCCTCAGCTTCTCGTGCATTACCGCCAGATGCTCTTCCATACTGGGCTGCTCGCTCCCGGTTGCCTGACCCCCCGCAGTTTTGGCACTGAGGGTAAACTTTAAGAGACCTTCTTGAGCTGCCGGGGTGGGAAATGCCAGAGCTTGGTAAGGGGTCCTGCACACTCCGGGTTCAAAGAGACTTCTAAAACAGTCCAGCTGTGCGCTGCTAAGATGGCCGCACTCCCTGTCAGGAGGGAAGCTGTCGCTGGGCTCGGCATGGTGGAAGAACTGGGATACTGGTTTTGGAGGTAGTTTATTTTGGATGACAATGTCCTGTAGATGCTGCACAGCTCTGTCCTGCTCAGAGGGCGCTGAACACAGTCTGATGCCCACAGGCTTGCTACGTGGGGAAAGAGCGATAGCCGTTGGCGGTCTCACTGGAGTGCTAATCCCGGGGGAGGGGCGCAATTCTCGGAACAAAATGACGTCGCGGACCTAGGACAGAACAAAATGTCAATGATTTGTGGCCAAGTGAAAGCAGGAAGCAGAAGCAACGTGGAGGAATCCATAGCAGGAACCTTCGAGTCTCATACTGTGCACATAGGAGCCCATTTATAAAGCAGCGGTGTGCTCCAGCTATTTCTATTGCACCCTCCTATAATTTACAGCAGGGGTAGCCAAACTCCGGCCCTCCAGCTGTGGTGGAACTACAAATCCCATGAGGCATTGCAAGATTTGCACAGCCACAGACATGACACCCGGAGAGAGATGCATCATGGGATTTGTAGTTTCACCACAGCTGGAGGGCCAGAGTTTGGCTACCCCTGATTTACAGCAAAGGAAGGCACCATCTTAGCCTCTATCTGGATTGCAGTTGCCATGGTGTTGCACCATGTGACCAGCTATGACACCAGCCATTTGAGGCCATAAAGGTTTGGTTGAGAGCTGAAATAAGGGCACTGACAACCTTGACAGTTGGTACGCCTTCATAGTCACCGTTTTGGGAGACATAAAATTGGTGGGTCTAGTTTTGCTTTCATACCTCCTCCGGCACACTGCTGGGCGCTTTATAAATGTTCTTTACAATTTGCTGGCTGAGACCTAATAAAAAGGCAGAAAAAAATGCGTGCCAGGAGGAGGAAGGAACCGGTCACATGACAGCGCTCTATTCCTGTACACGAGTCTTCTCTGCAGGACTTGGCCCGGCTGCACATTGTGAGGAATATACAACTGGAGAAGACAGAATCTTGGAGCAGTTGCCCATAGCAACCAATCAGCTTCCATCTTCAGCTTGTTCAATTAGGCTTTAAAAACGAAAGCTAGACGCTGATTGGTTGCCGGGGGCAACTGCTCCTGTCTGAGTGAATTGCCCTCTATATACTCAAAGAGGAATGCCACCCACCAGCCTACCTTTGCTTTCAGAACAGATATCATTGTTTGGGGGTCTGAAGCTGTTTTCTAGCCAAGAATTCAGATTTTATCGTGTGTGTGTGAGCAAATGTAAGAAATGGCAGCAAGTGGTTAACGGCCTCCAAAAACAGTGACCATTAAGGGGGGCCAACTGTCAAGGTTGCCAGTGCTCTTATTTCAGCTCTCAACCAAACTTGAAGGCCTCCAATGTCTGGTGTCACAGCTGATCACATGGTGCAGCGCCATGGTAACTGCAATCCCATAGAGTCTAAGATGGCACCTTCCTTGGCTGTAAGGGATAAGAGGGTGTAGTTCCACTTTAAGACATAGAATTCAGGCACAGGGTTCAGTTTACACTCCGGGATAAGTTTCCTTATTGTCATAAAAATTAGTTATTTTCAGTCGAGTCCAATGAGACGTGAAAACTTTATGAATTGAGCGCAAAGTTATAACTGGGACCCTTAATGTATGTAACACGGGACTGCCAACACATAGAAGAGGAACTATATGTCATCAGTGGGTCTCTGAGCTTCCCTATGTAATGCAGGCAGATCATGGCTGGTGGGAGGGGCCAGCTGGGTGCTGTAAATAGCTTCCTAAACTCAATGTAGCACCCTGTCTCAGTACTCCTCTCAAGAGCCCTCAGCTCTCATGCAAACAGTGGGCCGGCTCTTGGGAGGAGTTATGCAAATAAAACACTTTCATGGTTGGATGTTAATATAAGACCTACCCCGAACTAGGTCTTATTTTCGGGGTAGGTCTTATATTACAGAAATCCCCGAAGATAGCACTAGGTCTTATTTTCGGGGTAGGTCTTACTTTCGGGGAAACACGGTAGATGGGATGCATTTGCATGCAGACCACCCTAGAGAATGCCCACATGTCCAGTCCAATGAATTAAATGGATGGGATCAGGGCAGGAAGAACTGAAGATACTGGACATCCTCCAGCCAGGAAATGAGCTGAGCTCTATCACCTGCAGCGTCTAATGCACATTGTGAGTAGCTCACAGTGTGCAGTGACATCAATCTAAAGTGAGTGGCCAGAGTGACAACGCTACTCTGCTACAAACACAGTACAGTGAGTGTTGTCACCCAAGGACAGGCAGTGGCAGAAATAACTGAAAGCTAATGTAGCCACCACATGTAATGACCGGTGAGCTGCAATATAGTCCATTTTTGGGGTTTGATGTTCTTCAACTGTCAGCCTGGCTCTCATCACGTTGCCACACAGTCCCGGTCACCTCTGTACATCTGACACTGAGCCGTTATAGGTCTCTGTATACACATACACAGCACATTGCTGGGACGTTACCAGACAGTTCACTGCCCATACCACTCACCCGGCTCCCTTCCCGGAGTTTCCCCGCCGCTAACCCGGCTCCTCTCACTCCGCTCCTGCCCAGCCCCGGGACACCGCGGAGCCTCCTCACACACAGCGCCATCCGCTCCCGGGCGTGACGTCGCCTCTACACAGGAACCGGCGGCTGCAGAGACAGCACAGGGCGCGCAGGACAACTCGCACCCACACAGGCGAGCACAACCGGGCAGCCAATCAGTGAAAGAGACACAGACCTATCAGCTGTCAGCGTACTCGCGCCGCACAAAATCGGCCAGCCTATCACATGGCGGGGGCGTGAGCATATTGGCCAATAGTGTGCTTAGCGACGAATACCACGTCTGCCCGTAAGAGGGCTCGACAAATGAGAGTACGGTGATTTCTTACACTTCCGGGATATGCGTTCCAGGACTAGCGTCGTGCGTTGACACAAACGCTTTCCTTATTGGACAATGTGTTAGCGTCCCAACCTCATCTTCATTTGATTGGCTGAGAAGGCTGAAGGAGCCCTGACGTGCGAGAGTGACATATTGAGTGAGGGAATGTGCCCGTGCTCTTCAATGACACTCCTAAGGAAGAAGGTCACATAGGGAAGTGGGAGATTATTAAGTGCACATGGTACAAATAAGGCCTCGTGCTGCTGCAGAGTTCAATCCCAGCACAGTGCAAAGATTTGCTGCTTTCTTTAACCCACTCAGAGCTGCTATTAACCGCTTCATGTCCAGAGCAATTTCTTCATTTTTGTACACCCTTTAATTCCAGAATTTTAGGCTAGTAAACTGCTTAAACCCCCAAATGGGAGGTGCATTTTTTATGTCGCACAATATTTGGGCAAATGTTTATCAAATCAATATTTTTAGGAAAAAATACACTAAAATTAATTTTAGTGCACACAAACAGGATATAATAGACAATTTTTTTGGTAACATATAAAAGATAGGGTAAGATACAAAATATGGAAAACCTCAAAATTGTGTGTGCCAGTGAAATAGCAAAAAACTAACAGTACCCAAAATTGCCCATATGAGAAGTTTTAAAATCCTTTGCCGCTCATTCATTTAGCGTTAACAGTGAATGATGGCCCTAGAGCAGGATCGGGTAACCTCGGCCTTTCAGCTGTTGTGGAACTACAAGTTCCATGAAGCATTGCAAGACTGACAGGTACAGGCACAACTAGGGTTGCCACCTTTTCTTTCATTGGTGTCGGTGAACGCAATAATAATCCCCAGAATTGGTGCCAGTGTATGCAGTCATAACCCCCAGCACTTATGTCAGTGACTACAATAAACCCCCAGCATTGGTGTCAGTGACTGCAATGATAACAATGATAACCCCCCAACATAGTAGGCAGTAATACTAAACACACCCCACTACCACCAATAGTATTATTTAACCTCCCCCACAGTGGTGGTCAGTATTAGTAGTCAATGGGAGTGATATTTAATCCCCCATTGCTGGACAATAGCAGTAGTATGTAATCTAACCTTCCCCCTGGCTGTGTGTTAAACAACCCCCCACCCACCCACTCAATTGGTGGTCACTGGTTTTAAAATGTAACCCCCAACATTGCCCAGGAAATGGCAGGCTGCGCACACAGAGTGAGCAGGCCACGTGTCACATGTTGGGCAACTTACCAGTGATTCTGTGAATAATTTGCCTTCCTAAATGATTTTTTACCGATTTTATCTTTAGTTGGGGGAAGGATTAGAACCTCGGGAAAGTTCCATCAGAAAGATTCCCCTTCTCTTAATGTACTGGTGACAACAGTTCCACCAGACACAGGAAGTGAAGAGAACTCTACACAGAAATACAATTGCTTTTTCTAGTACACCTCGTCAGCTTTTCATTTCCATCAGACATATCATGGAAGAGAACGTCTCATCAAAGTGTAAAGGTTTCACCAGAACAAATGCCTCTAATGGAAGATTTCCCCTTTATTCCAGTGACCACTCAAAATGTTGTATTTTCCATCATTTTCAGTCCCATCACCTCAGGAAATAGGGAAGGAGAATCTTTACAACGAGAACCCAGACAGCAACAACAACAGGAAAGGGGCTCTAACCCTTTCCTACCCCTTCCCAAACGAAACGTTTTGGCGTCAGATACGTTTTTGATTTTGCTTAAGCAGTACCCTGAAAATGTGCCTTTTGTCTTAAAATAGTAATGTACTTCCTGTGCCTACAACCCTGAAGCTGTATATCAGCAGTGTGAGATCTAAGGCTGGGCACACACCTTACAACCATCGCAAGACTTTTGTCTTGCGATAGTTGTAAGGTACTTAAAAAAACGTACGATCTGCCTATCTTGCATAGGCAGATCGTACTTGCGATGATCGCAAGCCATGCCCCCTGAGGGGCGAGCTTCCGATGACCGCAATGCCGAACGGGAAGTGTGCGCTTGCGCACACCGGCCCGCCCGGCTTTTATCTTACGAACATGCTACACACCCGCCGAAGATCGTACGATGCTCGGCGGGTTTTCGAACATGTTCGTAAGTTTAAAGTCGTGCGACCTTACAGTAGTAGAGGTCACACGGCTTCCACACACCTTACGATAATCGTACGATCGCAGGATTTCCCGCGATTATCGTAAGGTGTGTGGGGACCTTTAGGCACTACCGCCTCCGGCTGCTAGTCTGAGGAGCTTTGGAGAGATCAGGTGAGGTCACTGCTGTGCTACTCACTGTTCTCCTTGCTGGAGAGAAAGCTGCAGTGCGAGAATCTGCCTTCATCTGCATCATTCCCCCTGAGGATCTGTGCTTTCTGAGCCTCCACCAAGATGGCTGCCTCCACACAGAACCACAGTGCAGAAAAAGGCATGGCAATTCATGGGGAAAGTACAGCTGCATGGAGACCAGTCCTTTGCCCTGTGCTTGCATTTTATGGGTACAGCTTCCACAGTACAGGTCCTCTTTAACTTGCTGTTGGTGATCATGTCATGTGAGCCGTTCCATAGGCTATTAATGTTCCCCAAACTGCAGTATCACCCCCCAGCTTTACAAGAGCATACTGGTGAACATGCCCCAACTGCAGAATTAGAAGACAGATTTTTAGCAGATCTGCTTTCTGTCAAAATACTTATCCTGTCAACGTTATTTCTGTTAAAGCAGAACTCTGGGTAAATTTTGTTTAACCCTTACATGGGGCTGTCCCGACACTGCAAAGGTTAAGTCCTTGTTTTTGTCTAGGGTCCTATAAAAGTTATACACACCCGATCCTCTGAAATGGCTTGCTCTTAGACCGGTCTCTAGAGCCTCTTTCCCCCTTTGTTTCAGCGGTCTAAGGTCAGTCCCTGAGTCATCACGTTCTATACACTGTGTATAGGACATGAGGATGCCGAGGGACATACCATCGTTGCAGAAGAGGAGGAGACAGGCAGGAGGGAGCGCTGTCACAGCTGGCAGGTTCGTTGGATGGGGTGAGTATTACTTTATTTGTGACCCTAGATAAAAACTAAGGGCTTAACCTTTGCAATGCCGGGGTATCCCCACTGCAAGGGTTAAGAAAATGTTTACCTGGAGTTGTTCTTTAATCATTAAATGCCCCGCCCTGTATTCATTTGAATTAGTACTAAAGGCTAATAATTTTTTACCTTAATGCACTCTCTGCATTACGGTAGAAAATGCCCCGCCCCCACAAAAAAACACCTAGGGTCTACATCACCACCGCCGGCTCCCAGGAGATCTGCGGGCAGGGCAGCAATAGGCTGCTGCACATGCCTGTCAAATTACTGTGAGGAGGCGGACACAGGGGGCGTGGTTTGTGAGTGCCGTGTGTGTCAGTGGACGCACACAGCTCGGCTCACTTGCCGGTCGGGGGTGCGCATGCACGGGTGTCTCCTCTGCAACCTGCTAGGCAGAGGAGACACCTGTAAACATGGAGGGGAGGGAGCCGTAAAGCAGGAGGGGAGGGGGCTGCAGAATGAAAGCTGCTAAAAATAAATTAAATGGGTGCAATGAAAAATAAAGCTCATTATATAAATGGCCATATACACTGCTGAATAAAAAAACAAAACGGGTTTAATGTCACGTAAAGGTTGATAAAAATCTAGTTAGTAAAAAAAAAAGACAAAGTTTTCTAGAAAATATGATTTATAATATAATATAATAAAAATGAAATGGAAGTGACAGTGCCGGCTATTATTCTTTGCCCTCACCATGGCCGTGTACCACGCAATTCCTGTTTCCGTCTGACAAACTGTGCGTTCATTACCGTACCCAGGACTGTCCAAGATGGTTGCTCCGACCACTGAGTTCTGGAAACATGGACGCCAGCTTTATCCTCTGGTTTTTCAAGGCTCTTTATTGCTTCTGGTGGCTCTTGTTTGGAGTGCCCTGTAGTCTGTTGATGAGGCTTCTGGGTATGAAGTGGGTAGTGATTGCTTGTGAGCCGGCCATTCTGATCAGGAGATGCCACATCTGATGTCTCATCCTTGCTCATGCTGTGAAGATAAGCAAACATATGGAAGGCCTGTATAAACAGCCCAGTAACTGCTGATCCCTACCTATAAATAAATAAATAAGTGAACTTGGAGTCTGTCCTTCCCACATGGAGGATCATACAGACAAAAGGAAGCTAAAGCTGGCCATACACCGTTATATTTTCTTCTATGGGCTGAAGGAAGAAAATATAACGGATTCCTCTATCCATGCTTATGAACATGGATGGAGGTATTTCCTGCTGTTTCCATTGTATTCTGACAGCGGCCAGCTGATTGGCTGCAAGTTTCTATCGGCCGAAGAGTTTCCATCCAGCTCCTTCGATATTCTGATGGAGGGATGGTGCCTGGAAGGGGGCTGTCAGTGCCCACTGTGTGAAATTCAGATTGTGTATGGCCATTTTGCCGCACTTTGTAGCGCTTCTTTTGGCAGACTGTCCAAGGCTATTGGGGCCAAAATCGCACAAAATCTGCTGAAAAATAGCTCATGTTCGAGCGACAAGCTTCAGCTACAAGCTACAGGCGCCATTGAGCTGTGAAATGTGAACAGCTCCATTGAAATGCATTGGAAGAGCTACATTGAGCTTCATGTTTGAGCGATTTTTGAGCGGAAATCGCGTTACAAATCGCTCAGTGTGAATGGGTTCTAGCTATTGGTTCAGGTATGTTGATGATACATCCCTAAAAACAAGGATGGGGGCCCTTGATACCATTTGTCTTTCAGATATAATGTCTTTTTAGCATCTCTACCCCAGCGATTTGACAATTCACACCTTCAGCTATGAACGCCAAGGGTTGACACATGTTACAGACTTCCTTAAACCAAGGAATGGCATCATGTAACTAGAACAGGGTTACACCTCCATTACTGTTCTTGGACAATCAAGGTCGCCTTTCATGGTGGATTAAGGCAGCAGTTATCCATGTGGCTATAAATGTTGAGCTATGTTTATGACACTTATTAGAACTGAAGAAGTGGCTTGGATACGCTGAAAACATCTTCAATATTATAGAACAAGTCCAGCTGAATGTGACTTACTAATACTAGCTACACCCAACACACACACACTCAAAAGGAAACACTTACCTTTTGTCAGTTACATTGTGCTTTTCTTTAATATCCTCTAAAGAAAGAAGAAAAAGTAAAACATTGTCCCTCATCTTATAATTGAACATCTGTACTCCTTCAACTTTCTAGAACTCACATAGACTTTCCTATTTTCTAAGGTTCAAAAGAGCTGCAATTTATAGGCTACCAAAGCTGCAAAATGGGGTGAGGGTAGCTTTTGGAAGTGATGAAAGAAATATAAGACCCACTTTTGGGGAATGAACATAATAATGTAACCATTGCTATCTTCGTAGTATCAGTGGTGACATTTATATGATCATCGACCCCCAGCGATCTCTAGAACTGTAACATTGAATCTCATTACTAATATGTATGTATTTCCTATTATGCTCAGCTCCACCTAGTGGCCATACTGTGGTATATCCGCCATCCACTCTAACCTATTAACCATCCATTAACCTATTGAGGAACATTTATTCAGAAGAGAAATTACACTGAGAACATTCGTTCTTGCTCCAGTCTCACAACAACTGGTTGACTCGCACAGAAGGAATGTACTGTACTTACAGTATCGCTGGACGAAAAAGCTATGGGAATTTTTTACATTTAGACCCTTTAGCGCAAGGGGTAGCATACCTCCGGCTCTCCAGCTGTGGTGAAACTACAAATCCCATGATGCATCTCTCTTCGGGAGTCATGTCTGTGGCTCTGAGAATCTTGCAAAGCCTCATAGAATTTGTAGTTCCACCACAGCTGGAGGGCCGGAGGCTTGCTACCCCTGCTTTAGCGTCATGCTTCAGATATGTAGAAGTGTTTAAGGTTTACAAAAAAAATAAGATATGTTTAAGGTTGGGGACAATATTAGAAAAATTTAGACACTGGATATTAAAATTGTAATATTGTCAATGAATGCTTCATACAAAGGATATATAACAAAGTATTGAGATGACCTTTTGATATTGACCAAATACTTATTTTCCACCATAATTTGCAAATAAATTTGTTCCAAATCAGCCAATGTGATTTGTCTGGATTTGTTTTCTCATTTTGTCTCTCATAGTTGAGGTCTACATATGATGCCAATTACAGGCCTCTATCATCTTTTTAAGTGGGAGAACTTGCACAATTGGTGGCTGACTAAATACTTTTTTGCCCCACTGTACCATGAGCGATTAGGTGCTTTAAGATGTATTTAAAAAGCTTTTGTACACACTTATATACTGTATGCATCTAATGGATTCCAATGGGTATGGTCACACCTTGCCTCTAGATGCATTTATCTGTGGTCAGTTTATCACTTGTTCTGGGTATAGAGATCTTTATCCTCCCTCACGTCCTTTAAATCTACGATTCAAGACCTATTCACACCACTGCACCGTGCTAATGCATGTCACCTACGTTTGTGCGCTACAGTACCAATTTTGAATGACACCCCGATGTACCTCCACACTACATATGTACCGCAATGCACTGCACCACACTACAATGCACTGTGTCCTGTGTGTGCAGTGCAATGTAAACCTGCAGTCTGCACTATTTTTTTTTGCGTTGTGTGCTGCAGCACCATTCATTTTGAATGAGAGACCTTAAGGCAGCGCACTACAGCACAACTCAAAAACAAGTGCAGTGTGAATAGACCCGAAGCCCTAGCAGGGGGTGAAACACATAAGAAGGGAGGAACGAGTGGAGTGTCTCTACTCAACAACTATCCACTTGTTCAATTAAGGGGAATAAACTTATATGGATAGGAAGCGGTGTGCGACGTCACAAGACTGCATGAGTGAGTCCAATGACATGTGAAGATGACAGTCACATGGCTGAAAATAAAGATCCATAAAGCTTGGTGACTTCAACCTAATGTGTGATAAACAGTAAAATAAGAATTTTAAAGCAGGAAAAGCAGCAATTTTAGGTGCAAAATTGCAGAATAAGTTAAAGTGATATCAAAGTCACAAGGTTTTTAAGCTTTTTCAAATGCTGATGAAGTAATTTACAATGGACGCTGCTTCTTGATGCTTAAAAGTTTTAGTTTCCTGCAGAATCAGCTGGTCCCCTGAGCACTGGCCCAGATATCCTGTTTTAGGGGGGCTCCTTTCCTTTTCAGGGTCCTATGGAGCCACCATTGCGTGTGCTAGTAAGCTTTGTGTGTCTCCACAAACACAGCAAAGCAAACTGCTCCCCACTCCTCCTTCCTCCCTACTTTAGGCTAGTAGATGAATAGCTGCTGGGGCCTGCTCTGTCCTTTGTGATCTTGTACTGGACAGGAAATTCAGGTAAGCAGAGCTGAGAGAGTTGGAGCTGTTCAGAAACATGATGACTAAGTGTTTGGGCAAAAATGTAAAGTAATACTTTGCAGGCCAATGTATATTTGTTGGATCTGGATTCATTATTGGGGAGAAAATGAGTGTGAAATGGTTCAGATGAGGGAAAACAAGTTCAGATTATTCACTTGGTTATGTCACTTCTTTATAAATAGGCCACATGCTTTACACACAAAATGCATTATTTTTATTATAGAGGATTTATATAGCGCCAACAGTTTGCGCAGCGCTTTATACGTCGCCATATACTGTAAAAAATGAAATGAGTTTGAAAATCTGCACCTACCTGCAGGTGGCGCTCTACGGAGAAGAGGAGGAGAGGCAGATGTGTAGCGGCTGTAGCAATTCTGTTGAGCCATGAGTCCGCGGGAGAAGTTCATAACACTGAGAGACAAAGCGACAGGGAAGGAAGGAAGGTTTGGGCAGCAGAGGATCATGCATCGCAGGACGGAAATGAAGGATGAGCATAGACGAAGGAGATAAAAGTGCAGTGATGTGAAATGCGTGAAAGGCAGATAGGACAAAATGAGGAAAGAAATGATAAATGGTGACATCGGCCCCCACAAAGTCTCTACACAAGTCATCCTAAACCAAACGTAAAAAAAGCGGAACTCCAGTTTTGTTAAAAAATAATACAGCTAAAAGAAAAGGAAACTATTTAAAGTGACACAAAGCTCGAGTTAAGTCTTAAAAATACATTCAAGTACCTTCACTATTAACAACAATGTATCTTATTTGTGTATCACGCGGCTGTAGATCCTCAAATCATCTCTGAATTGGTGCTGACACTGTCCGTCCTTCCTTCTGGAGGGTGACTACTTGTGTTCCCCATGGTACCTGTGTGTGTTGTAAAGTAGTCACCACTCCAAGCTAACTCCTGTGATGGACTACAATCTCAATGCAAATTAATAAACTAAACATGAGATTGTAGTCCATCACAGGAGTGATCTTGGAGCGGTGACTACTTTACAACACACACAGGTACCATGGGTAACACAAGTAGTCACCCTCCAGAAGGAAGGACAGTGTCAGCACCAATTCAGAGATGATTTGAGGCACTACAGTCGAGTGATACACAAATAAGATACATTTTTGTTAATAGTTAAGGGACGTGAAGGTATTTTTAAGATTAAAATCCTGAGTTTAGGGTCACTTTAATGTTAATACAATGTTTCACTTTATGGTTTATGTTCATCTGAATGTGGTTCTCCATAAGGCTGGGTTCACACCTGGGCGTTCCTAATAGGCGCGTTTTTGCCCTTGCGTTTGAAGCACATTTTTTTGTCCAATGAAACGTGCGTTCGACGCACGTTTTTTAACCTCCCTGGCGGTATGATTTTTTTTTCCTGTTTTTCGTTGGATTTTTTTACTTTTAAACTTTGCGCCGGTTCCACCCCCCTGCGACGCGGACGCTCGCAAGGGACGGAACCCGGCAGCGGCCGGAGGACACAGCGTGGATCGCGGACAAGGTAAGACCTACGCTGTATTCCCGAGTCTGGCTCGGGGTTACCGCTTTGGTACAGAAAATTAACCCCGATCCACACTCGGGAATACCAATGGATACGCGCTGAAATCTGCCCCTACGCACGAAAAAGAAGCTCAAGTACCTTTTCGCACGTAGGGCGTTTTTCAGCGTGACAAAACGGGCTGAAATACGCACAGGTGGGAACCATGCCCATAGGGATTAACAGGATTTCACTTCAAGCGTTTTTCAGCGCTTCGATCAGTGATGAAAAACGCCCAGATGTGAACCCAGCCTTAGTCATCAGGCCTTGTCTGCTCCCCACAATCCTGTGGTATTCCCTGCTGTCTTCACTAGTCTCCAGATCACTGTATATCGGCTTGCAAAGAACAATGATATGCAGAGACCATAAAGCAGAGATAGATTTCAGTTTTTAATAAATTTGAGTGGAGAAGATTACTAATATAATGAACCAGGATTAAATCTGCCCGAACTAGATAGGCAAATATTGGGCGGATGACGTTCGCACAGCACTAGCACCCCTGGCTGGCACTGACCAGTGTAGGAACTTTAATGAATCAACCCCTTGGTGAGCTTTATATATTTCCTCTAGATCTGTGCAGTAATCCAGTGTGAGACCTTGAGCTTCCTGTAACACAGACCGGTCGCTGCTGCTCTCTCTTCTTGTGCAGGGTGACTGGTCTTGTATCCGCCCCCTTCTGTAGTTTTCTGCAGGAGACTGTAGGGGGTGGAGCTGCTGGGCCCCTCCCACAACTCTGCTCCCTGCATCGGCTATGTACAGCGAATTGATGGCATCACTGCTGCTTTAACAATGTAATAACTGGGTTTTTGTTGTACACAATGAGGATTTTTTATAACTTTTGTGGTTATAATTGAGTATATTTAAATAACAACATTGATGTCAGGATAGCAAATTAAAGGAAATCTGCAACAGCAGAAAAAACTAACTCTTTTCGGTACTCGCCAATACCAATTACCGGGTACCGGAAGTCCCATTCAGGAAGCCAGGTGGCGTGTAATGACTCGCCACCTGGCTTCCTGATTAGCCGGGAAGCCGGGCAACGTGTAAAGACTCGTCACCCGGCTTCCCGATTAACAAGAAAGTCTGTCTCTCACCTCAGCATGTCCAGCCTGTCACCCCCGGGGGCCTCTCTTGCCAGGAGCGGCCTTTCCGCAGGTACCCAGCAGGAGCCGTTTTGCTGGCCAATCATGGAAGCCGGGCGCCGTGTAATGATGCGGCGCCATGCTTTCTGATTGGCCGGGAGGCCGGCTCCATGCTTCCTCGTCATGAGATGACGAGGGAGCATGAAGCCGGCTTCCCGGCCAATAAGAATGCCGGGCGCTGCGTCATTACACGGCACCCGGCTTCCTGATTGGCCGGGAAGTAGGCTCCATGCTCTCTCGTCACAAGTGACGAGAGAGCATGAAGCCGCTTTCCAGCCAATCAGGAAACCGGGCAGCGTGTAATGATGCGCTGCCCGGCTTCCTGATACAGGAAGTATCGGGCTAGGCATCGGAGCTTTTGGGCGAGTACGAGTACTCGCCCAAATACTCGGTATCGGCACCGATATCAATACTAGTATCGGTGCAGCCTTACTAAAAAACCCAAAATTATTTGGCAGCAGTTGGCCTCTAAAGGTCTCCGGATTTCTTCACACTGAAGCAGCGATGTGACAAGCCGTTTCCTCAGCCTTTAGGGCAACCCTCGAGAATTGTGGAAAGGTGATGAGAATGGACTAACCGCTAATAATGGAATTACGATACCAACGTCAAAATCACTGACCAATACGAAAAACAATTCAACATTCTGCATCTTTATTAAATTCATCAGTGAACAACCTTTCCCCCTCCCCTCTAAAAACTGGATTATAGGGGTGTATTTCCATCAAATCTGCAGAGCCAGTCATCTTGTGAAACTGCCATATACACTAGTTTTGTGTGAATGGGGCAAAAACTAATGTTATTAGAATATTTTCTTTCTTTTCCAGATTGAATGTAATATCAGGAAAATACTGCATTGTGGCCACTAGATGGCGATGAGGACCATAGGAAAGAAGTATTTATGAGTGAAAAATGTGAAATCTGCGCTTATGGAAGGGTTAAGTGTTAAAGCTGCTGCGCTATAGTTTTTAACGACAATGAAATAATGAGTGTGCAGCGCTGTAGGTGTTTTATGTGTTACACATCTATTACCGTGCTAAAATCCCTACAATGGGTAAAGTGTAATCCCTTTTTCAGGGATATATAAATATGAAAAAATTGTGTTTAAACAAATAAAAATACAAACAATATTAGGTGATCCTAGTGTCTTCACATAGCAATATCCTTAATTATTAAAAGGAAACAAGTGCCTCATAAAATCCGCTGTGTAGCTATATAACAGCCAACTTAATCAAATCCTATACAATAGTCAGTGATAATTCATCAAAATAAAGTTCATCAAAATAAAGTTCAATTGTGATGATAATGTGGAAAATCCAAAGTAGAAAAAAAAGAAAAAAAAATGAAGCCCAGACAGAAATATTTCAACACCACTGTGCAAGTGTCCACGAATCCCCCTCTGGGGTGCGCACTCACCCCACTGTTTGTGGAAAATAGACAGTGTAGATGATTCTATGCGTCCACATTCAAGGTATTCTATCCGGCAGTATCCCGTCACTCAAGCATTTGTGGGATCATAAAAGAAAAACTCCTCATGGTGTGGCAAGTATACACGTTTATTTAAAAAAACATAGAAAACTCACAGTTTAAAACAGCAAAAACCGGCCGGTCAAACACAGCACCAAATCCAGCGTCTGCCAAGCATGTACTTCCTGATCGTGGTATCACATGGAATAGGCCCGCCCCGACGCGTTTCGTCACAGTCGACGTCCTCAGGGGGTTGCAGGTCAACCCCGAGTTTTTCTTTTATGATCCCACAAATGCTCAAGTGACGGGATACTGCCGATAGAATACCTTGAATGTGGACGCATAGAATCATCTACACTGTATTTTCCCCAAACAGTGGGGTGAGTGCGCACCCCAGAGGGGGATTCGTGGACACTTGCACAGTGGTGTTGAAATATTTCTGTCTGGGCTTCATTTTTTTTAACTTTGGATTTTCCACATTATCATCACAATTGAACTTTATTTTGATGAATTATCACTGACTATTGTATAGGATTTGATTAAGTTGGCTGTTATATAGCTACACAGCGGATTTTATGAGGCACTTGTTTCCTTTTAATAATTAAGGATATTGCTATGTGAAGACACTAGGATCACCTAATATTGTTTGTATTTTTATTTGTTTAAACACAATTTTTTCATATTTATATATCCCTGAAAAAGGGATTACACTTTACCCATTGTAGGGATTTTAGCACGTTAATAGATGTGTAACACATAAAACACCTACAGCGCTGCACACTCATTATTTCAAAAAAGTATTTATGTCCGACGTTCCTCAGCTCCATCTAGTAGCCATTGTACAGTATTTTTTGGATTCACTGTAATGAAGGAATTGGAAAAGAAATATGCGACTAACCTTTGATTTTGCCCCATTTATACAGAAAGAATACACATTCAGGTTCACAGGACAAATGGCTCTGCAGTTTTTGTTTTATATAAATACACCCCTTAAAGTCATACCTGTCACGTACAATGAACGCAGTGCAGTCCTGTAAGTGTAGTCATTCTTTGAAAGGAGGAGATATCTGTTTTTAACTATACTTTCTTTGGGAGAAAAATGGCCAAAAATGTGCGTTGCCAATTGCAAATACATTTCAACAGACATTTTCCTTAATCTGCTTATTGTTCATCTTAAATTTGTTTGTTTTTTTAACTCAACGTAAAATACTTTTCTCTGCGTTCATTGAAGGACACAGTGAAGATCTGTAGATCGTAAGCACTGGGCTATACT